TGGGATTACAGACGCCAGCCCACCATACTCAGCTAATTTTTGTAGAGATGGGGTTTCACCATGTTGGTCAGGCTGGTCTCGAACTCCTGACCTCAGGTGATCCACCTGCCTCAGCCTCCCAAAGTGCTGGGATTACAGGCGTGAGCCACTGCACCCAGCCCAAAATTCTAACTTTCACTGGACTCTTCACTGTCATAACAAAAAGAGCTCTCGGCACCAACAAACTCACTAAAAATGCACAGGAGTGTGTATGCCAGAGAATGTGAGAGCAGAGCCCATCACCATTATCAGAAAAACAACTTACTCTAGTAAGTTGTTTGGCACCACTGAGTGGTGCCAAATAAATGTCAGAGGTAGCATGTTATTTTTCAAGATACATGCTTTTTGTTTGAGACATGCCTAGGCCAGAGTGCAGTGGCATGATCTCGACTCATTGCAACCTCCACTTCCTGGGTTCAAGAGATTCTTGTGCCTCAGCCTCCCGAGTAGCTGGGATTACAGGCACGCACCACCACGCCCAGCTAGTTTTTTTATTTTTAGTAGAGATGGGGTTTCGCCATGTTGGCCAGGTGGGTCTCAAACTCCTGGCCTCAAGCGATCTGCCCATCTCTGCCTCCAAAAGTGCTGGGATTATAAGTGTAAGCCACTGTACCCGGCCTAGATATAAGTTTTTAATAACTCTAGGTGAAACATCTGCTTAAAAATGGACAAAGTATAGGATAGAACAGAAAAGGAACCAGAGGGAAATAGGGACAAAAGCCAACTGACTAGAGCAATGGGTCTCAACTAGGGGTGAGCAGGGTTCAGACAATGTCTGGAGACATTTCTGGTTGTCACACCTGGGGAGGTTCAAATGGCATCTAGTGGGTGCAGGCCAGGGCTGCTACTTAACATCCTAAAATGCACAGGACATAAATGCACAGGACATGCCCCCATCCCGCCCCCAGAGAATTCATCAGCCCAAAATGTCAGTAGTGCCATGGAGAAACCTTGGATGTGAAAAACAGGAGGAGCTGCATCAGGACACAGTAAGTAGAAAAATGCAGATATGTCAGGAAATATGGGAGTAATATGGAAACAAAACAAAGCAAGGGAACAAGAGGCAGCACAGAGAGAGGACAAGTAATGAGGGTGGAATCAAGGGGCATCTAGGGTGCCCTGAGAGCTGTCACTTAGAAAACACTAGAGCAGCTGTGTCCAAGCAGTGCTTTTTCCTGCAGGAGAGAGAGGATGAATGTTCTAGACTTGAAGTCAAACCCCAGTGTCCACCTCCCAACTGTGAGAGTTCTTTTTTGAGAGTCTTGCTCTGTCACCCAGGCTGGAGTACAGTCACGTAATCTCAGCTCACTGCAACCTCTGCCTCCCAGCCTCAACCGGTCTTTGCACCTCAGCCTCCTGAGTAGCTGGGACTACAGGCATGCGCCACCACACCCGGCTTAAATTTGTATTTTTTGTAGAGATGGGTTTTCACTATGTCGCCCAGGCTGATCCTGAACGCCTGGGCTCAAGTGATCCTCCTGCCTCTACTGCCCAAAGTGCTGGGATTAGCGGTGTGAGCCCCCATACCAGGCCTGTGTGAGTTTTTTTTTTTTTTTTTTTGAGACAGAGTCTTGCTCTGTCACTCAGGCTGGAGTTCAGTGGCGTGATCTTGGCTCACTGCAGCCTCTGCCTCCCAGGTTCTGGCAATTCTCCTGCCTCAGCCTCCCAGGTAGCTGGGATTACAGGCACACACCACTACGCCTGGCTAATTTTTGTATTTTCAGTAGAGACGGGGTTTCACCATGTTGGCCAGGCTGGTCAACTCCGGGCCTCAGGTGATCCACCCAACTTGGCCTCCCAAAGTGCTAGAATTACAGGCGTGAGCCACCACGCCCGGCCAAGATTTCTTAATCTTAGTCTCTTCATCTGGGAAGTAGGGATGCCGATCTTCCTCCCACCTCACAGGGCAGCAGTGATGAAGAAGTGGGATAATATATGCCCAGCACCTGGCTCTGCGTCTGGCACAGAGAAGGGGCTTCACTAACGTGCCTTCCCTTCCTCTTCCTGATTCCACTCGCCTGGGTCTCTTCCTCACCCACCTGGGCAAGCACTACCGGAAGCCTTCCTACTCCCAGCTCTCGGTAGATCCAGGATCCACTGCTCGTCCCAGTTCTCCAGCTGACAGATCACCTCAGGTTTGGGAAACTGAAATCCTACTCATGGGGAAGTAAATGGGATGTGGCCGTTAGTGAGTTACAGAGACATGGCCCGGGGGCTCAGTGGCAGGCAGAGATAAGGACAATAATCAGAAGGGCTGAGAATAGAGATTGGCACAATCTTTGTAAATATCTGGCAGTCTTTATTGAAAGCCTGAACAATGTTCATACCTTTGGCTGTGGTCATTTCACTCTTAGAAATATAGCCTAAAGTACAATTGCAACCAAGATGAATGTGCCAGAGACGTTCAGCACAGTGGGATTGCAGCGTCAAACTGGAAATAAACTGAATATCGAAAGGGAACAATTAAATCAAGCGTAGCACATTAATGCGGTGAAGGCATAAGTATTAGGCAGATATTAAAAATCCTTGTATTCAATTGTTTATTTTTTTTATTTTTGAGACGGAGTCTTGCTCTGTAACCCAGGCTGGAGTGACAATCTCGACTCACTGCAACCTCTGTCTCCCAGGATCAAGTAATTATACTGCTTCAGCCTCCCAAGTAGCTGGAACTACAGGCACCCGCCACCATGCCCAGCTAATTTTTGTATTTTTAGTAGAGACAGGTTTCACCATGTTGACCAGGCTGGTCTCGAACTCCTGACCTCAGGTGCTCCACCCACCTCGGCCTCCCAAAGTGCTGGGATTACAGGTTTGAGCCACTGTACTTAGCCAACTATGTATTTATTTATTTATAAATTAATTTATTTATTTTGAGACGGAGTCTGTGCTGTTGCCCCCACCCGGCTAAGTTTTTTATTTTTATTTTAATTTTTTTTGAGACAGAGTTTCACTCTCGTCACCCAGGCTGGAGTGCACTTGTGTCATCTCTGTTCACTGCTACCTCCGCCTCCCAGGTTCAAGTGATTCTCCTGTCTCAGCCTCCCAAGTAGCTGGAATTACAGGCACGTGGCCACCATGCCCAGCTAATTTTTGCATTTTTAGTAGGTATGAGATTTCACCATTTTGGCCAAGCTGGTCTTGAACTCCTGAACTCAAGTGATCTGCCTGCCTCGGCCTCCCAAAGAGCTGGGATTACAAGCATGAGCCACCACGCCCAGCCCAACTATTTATTAAAATAGAAAAATGCTGCCTATGTATTTTAAAGCAGAATACAAAACTCACATATAGCATGATCCAAATTTTTTTTTTTCTGAGACAGAGCTTCGCTATTGTTGCCCAGGCTGGAGTGCAATGGCACAATCTCAGCTCACCACAACCTCTGCCTCCCGGGTTCAAGCAATTCTCCTGCCTCAGCCTCCGGAATAGCTGGGATTACAGGCATATGCCACCACGCCTGGCTAATTTTGTATTTTTAGTAGAGACAGGGTTTCTCCATGTTGCTCAGGCTGGTCTCGAACTCCCAACCTCAGGTGATCTGCACGCCTCAGCCTCCCTCCCAAAGTGCTGGGATTACAGGTGTGAGCCACCATGCCTGGCCCCAAATTTTGTTTTAAAAAACTATGTAGTGTGTGTGTTATGTATGCGTGTATAAGTAATTAATACAGTTTGAGCATCCCTAATCCAAAATGCTCCCAGATCTGAAACTTTTTAAGCACTAACCTGACAGAAGTGGAGACTTCCACACCTGACCTCATGTGACCAGTGGCAGTCAAAACGCAGGCGCACAACACACAGTTAATTCAGCCTTCTCCAGGGAAAGACAAAAGGACTTTCAAGATATGCGCCTAAGGTGTATATGAAACATAAGTGAATTTCCTGTTTAGACTTGGGTCAGGTCCTCAAATTATCTTACTACATATATGTGAGTACTCCAAAATCCAAAAAAAATCCGAAATCCAAAACACTTTTGGTCCCCAGCATTTTGGATAAGGGATCCTTGCCCTGTAATAGACACAAGACGGATTGGGAAAAAGGAAACCGAAATGTTAATAACAAGAGTTATTTCTGGAAAGTAGGCCCGCAGGTGATTTTATTATCTACTGTAGGTACTGACGTATTTTCCAAAATTTCTGTGATCAAAATTATTTTTAGAACTAGTAAAATCCATAAAAGAGGGCAGGGATATAGTAAAAAAGCACTCTCAGCCAGGCATGGTGGCTCACGCCTGTAATCCCAGCACTTTGGGAGGCTGAGGTGGGCGGATCACCTGAGGTTGGGAGTTCGAGACCAGCCTGACCAACATGGAGAAACCCCATCTCTACTAAAAATACAAAATTAGCCAGGCGTGGTGGGGCATGCCTATAATCCCAGCTACTCAAGAGGCTGAGGCAGGAGAATCACTTGAACCCGGAAGGCGGAGGTGCGGTGAGCAGAGATCGCACCATTATACTCCCGCCTGGGCAACAATAGTGAAACTCTGTCTCAAAAAAAAAAAAAGGCCGGGCACGGTGGCTCACGCCTGTAATCCCAGCACTTTGGGAGGCCGAGGCAGGTGGATCACCTTAGGTTGGGAGTTCAAGACCTGCCTGACCAACATGGGGAAACCCTATCTCTACTAAAAATACAAAATTAGCCGTCCGTGGTGGCACATGCCTGTAATCTCAGCTACTAGGGAGTCTGAGGCAGGAAAATCGCTTGAACCTGGGAGGTGGAGTATGCGGTGAGCTGAGATCGTGCCATTGCACTCCAGCCTGGGCAACAATAGCAAAACTCTGTCCAAAAAAAAAAAAAAAAAAAGACGCACTCTGAAATGTTACTATTGGATATGCAAAACAGTACAAATTTAGTTGAAGAATCATTCAGTAATCAATAAAGATTAAAGTGCCATCTCATTTAACTTCAAAATTCTGATTTTGGGAAAGTATCTTGGGAAATGATCAAAAATTCATATAAAGATTTATACTTAGAAACATCTATTCAAACATTATAAATACACAAGCAAACCAACGAACAAAAACAAAGTCAAGCTGAATGTTCCCACATGGAAAAACAATGAAATAGTACTATGGATCACACAATGGAATTATATTATGCTCGTTTACTGATTCTGTGGGGAAACACTGATACAATAATGTTAAGTTTAAAACAGATTACAGGATTACACATAGACTATGTTCAGCTACTTTTGTAAAGGCATAGGAAAAAAAGATTGGAAGGAAATCTTCCAAAATATTAACAGTGTTACTCATGAACACTTTCCTCTTCTCCTCCTTTTCTATGCCTTCCATGTACTTATGTATGCTCTTGTAATGTCTTTTTTTTTTTTGAGATGGAGCCTTGCTCTGTTGCCCAGGCTGGAGTTCAGTGGCGCAATCTTGGCTCACTGCAAGCTCTGCCTCCCAGGTTCACGCCATTCTCCTGCCTCAGCCTCCCGAGTAGCTGGGACTACAGGAGCCCGCCACCACACCCGGCTAATTTTTTGTATTTTTAGTAAAGACGGGGTTTCACCATCGAGTAGCTGGGACTACAGGCACCCGCTACGATGTCCGGCTAATTTTTTGTATTTTTAGTAAAGACGGGGTTTCACCGTGTTAGCCAGGATGGTCTCGGTCTCCTGACATCATCATCCGCCCACCTTGGCCTCCCAAAATGCTGAGATTACAGGCGTGAGCCACCACGCCTGGCCTTGTAATGCTTTTAAAGGGAACATTAAAATTATAAAAATCCAGAGGTGGGTGGACGATCCCACAAGAGGTGGTCAAGACTCTGTGCTAAGAGTGTCAGTGCAGGGGTTAAACATGTGGTCCTGGAAAGAAAACTATTTAGCAAGGCAATTCCCACAGTAGGAGACTACAGTGGAATAGGACAAGGTAGGCTCCTGAAAAGATGGAAGCAGTGAAGGTTCAGAAATGAAGTTGGTTTAAAATCATTTCCTGAGCACCCACTAATGCTACACACCAAGAAGTTACCCATTTCCAGAGAGAAGAAAGAAAAAGACTTTCAAGAGCATAAGAAGTGAGCCTTTGGAATGTAAATCTACCGTAATTCTCAACTCCTGCAGGTCTTACAGATGAGGAACATGGGGTGAGAGTGAAGAACGCATGAAGTGTCTCTGTCTGAGCCCTAACACAACACGACTATTTGCTGTCCCCAGTTCCTTATGTGAAACCCTTAGGACCAGATGTGTTTCAGGAGTCAGAATTTTTCCAATTTCAGAAAGGTGACCTGGTGTAAATATTTTACATAACGTATCATCCCCAGTAGGGTTTGGAGTGGTGCCCTCAAATACAGTTATTTTTGTTGTTGTTTTGTTTTGTTTTGGGACGGAGTCTCACTCTGTCGCCCAGGCTGGAATGCACTGGCATGATCTCGGCTCAGTGCAACCTCTCCCTCCTGGGTTCAAGCGATTCTCCTGCCTCAGCCTCCCAAGTAACTGGGACTACAAGCGTGCACCACCACAACCGGCTAATTTTCGTATCTTAAGTAGAGATGGGTTTTACCATATTGGCCAGGCTGGTCTCAAACTACTGACCTCAGGTGACCCACCTGCCTCAGAATCCCAAAGTGCTAGGATTGTAGGCGTGAGCCACCACACCCGGCCTACACTGTTATTTCTGAAGTTGGGTATACAGATATGCACACCAAGTTGGAAAAATAAAGACAATAAATGGTTTCCTATGGGGTGAAGTCAGGTTTCACTGTGGTGATGTCTGGTCAGGGCTTGTAGCCACACAAGTTATGAAAAAAACTTTCAGTTTTCAGCACTTTTTCTGATTCTGGAATTGCAGATAAGGGACTAAGGGCTTGCACAGACACTCAGAACACAGACAAAGCCCAATCTTCAAGCTGTGTCCTACCCAGCAAGACCATGTTCCTGTAGTTCTCCAGCATCACATCTCGGTAGAGGTCCTTCTGACCCCAGTCGAGGTGGCCCCACTCCTCTCTGGTGAAGTACATCGCCACATCCTCAAACGAGAGCAGCTCCTGGAAAAGTAGCTGATAAAGGTAACTGCAATTCTTACAATAACTTACGCGCAATGATTATTCCACAGGTGAGGAAACCGAGGTTTGGGAGGTAAAGTGTGTAGGCCAAGGGCACCCAATTCATAAGGAATAGACTCAGGGCTCCTTTCAGGCCCGATGGCCCTCAGGCCAGACATGTGCTGGCTTCCATACCACGGGGTCAACATACTTAATCTCTAAAGGGCCAGAGGGTAAATATTTTAGGCTTTTCAGGCCCTCTGGTCTCTGTTCCAGTTCCTCAAATCTGCTGTTGATTTGAGGAACACCAAATCAACAATTTGAGTAACAGCTTTTGTGTTGGAGCACAAAAGCAGCCATGGACAAGTAAGCGAATAGGCACAGCTGTGTTTCAGGGAAACTTTACCAAGAGGTCGAGGGTAGTTTGCTGACCCCTGCTCTATAAAAATAACCTATTGCTTCTGCCCCAGCTTCCTTACGAAAGAGATGAGGTCACTGGGGGATTGGTTAACGTGCAGACTATCGACAAAGGGATGAATAGTTTCAACGAACATGAACAAGAAATGTGGAAGCTCACAGGTGCTGGCCACCCTGGGGAATCAGGGCCTGCTAGGTCTGAAGGGGTAAGGTGGGGAGGGGTGCTGGAGCCCAGAAGGCTGCTGGAAGGGGAGCAAGACTGCAGCTGGGGCCAAAGAGGATGCAGCCACACCCATCCCACAGCCTGGGGAGGGAGCCGTGGGAAAAGAAACCCAACCTCAGTTTCCCCCAGACCTCTGGAACCCTGTTCCCCGTCCTCCAACCCTCTTCATCCCATTGCCACAAGCCAAGCAGATGCCGGAGACCAGGGGAGCCCGTTGCTGGAGAATATAAAAGGTACAGACCAAGGCGCAGACGCCTGGGTAGCATATCCAGAGGGGGCAACAGTGGACACGGCACAGTGAGCACAGGGGACACTACATCTGCAAGTGACTGTCCCCCTCCAGTGGGCTGAGCACCGAAGCTGCCACACTCCCACTCCCACACCACTGCAGCCCTCGGGGCAGAGGGGCCCAGCGGCTGCCTACAAACTCCCTGCTCTCACAAGACACTGCATGGGTTCAGCAGGGACGTGTGCAGGGAAACAGCAAATGTTCGCTGTCCTGTAAGTGGTCAGTAAAAAGAAATGCCCACCCTCATCCTGAGAAGCTTCACGTAGCTCCCCTCTGCGGGCACACACCAGAACCTCCCAAATTATACGGACGTTCTTTCCTGCCTATCAAACCTGAGTTCCACTGCTATGGTTGCAGGCCCTTTCTCACCATCATCCAGAATGTCACTCTTTTACCAGAGCTGCGCTGCAATGTCCTCAATCTGACCTACTCAGCCACCTGCATTCCCGCACCTGCACAAGGTTAACAAGCATGGGAATAAAGTGGCTTCATCTCCCAGAGTCATTGCGGCGAGATAACTCCTCTCTTAACATCCACAATAGGTTCTTGGAAACTGATTTTTACCAAAAGTATGTACAGCAGCAGGTCCTGGAATAACTTTGTTTCACTGTAACACTGATGGGGAAAAAAATGGTTTTGATATACAGTTTCCCTTAAAGTTGCAGTTTCCAAGAACCCATCAACAGCTAGGACCTGTATGTTGCCAGGTGGGCCCCAAATGTTGCTTAAAAGTTCCATTTCTTTTGTTTGGTTGTTTTTTTTTTTTTTTTTTTTTTTGAAACAGCGTTTCGCTCTTGTTGCCCAGGCTGGAGTGTAATGGCTTAATGGCTCAATCTCGACTCACTGCAACCTCCACCTCCTGGGTTCAAGCAATTCTCCTGCCTCAGCTTCCCAAGTAGATGGGATTATAGGCATGCGCCACTACACCCAGCTAATTTTTATATTTTCAGTAGAGATGGGGTTTCACTATATGTTGGCCAGGCAGGTCTCAAACTCCTGACCTCAGGTGATCCACCTGCCTCAGCCTCCCAAAGTGCTGGGATTCCAGGCATGAGCCACTAGGCCCGGCCTCTCCTTTCTTTCAAACTCAGTCTCTTCTAAGCCGGGCACGATGGCTCACACCTGGAATCCCAGCACTTTGGGAGGCTGAGGCAGGTGGATGGCTCAAGCCAGGAGTTCAGAAACAACCTGGGCAACATGGTGAAACCCTGTCTATAAAAAATACAAAAATTAACCAGCCTTGGTAGCATGTACCTGTGGTTCTAGCTACTTGGGAGGCTGAGGTGGGAGGATCACCTCAGCCTGGGAAGGTCAAGAGTGTCATGAGCCATGATCATGCCACTGCATTCCAGCCTGGGCGACAGAGTGAGACACTGTCTCAAAAAAAGACAAAACAACTCAGTCTCTTCTGATCACCCTCCATAATGCTACAAATTCAATAACTGACCTTCCATTATACCTTTTCATAGGAACAGTTCAGAATTTATTATGAGAAGTTCCTTACACATCTATCTCTCTAATCAGACTGTACTCTCCTACAGATGAGCGTTGATTTCCCAGCACAGAAGACAGCACCTGGAGTGTACAGCAGTAGATGCACGATAATGCTCATGGACAGAAACAATGGGCAATTACTACAGTAATAAGAGCAACAACTTAACACAGTGCTGAACTGTAACCAGATACTGCGCAAAGGACTTCACGGGGCATTTGCCATTGAATCTTCACAACTCGCTGTGATAGGCACTCTCATTGACCCAATTTATAGAAAAGAAAACTGGAGCCAGAGTGTTTATGTAACTTGCTGAAGGGAGCCCGTGTGACTCCAGGGGCTAAGCTCTCTACATCGCACTGTCTAACAAGGAAAACTCCCCGCACTGATGAAGAGGGCTCAACCTGAGGAAGGAGCTGCTGGTGGCAGTGACTATGCTGATGAAGCAGAGGGGGAGGCACAGCTCACCTTCCCCCTGGCTGGTGGGAACATGGCTTCCACGGCCTGGTCTTTGACAAGGGGTGGGATCCTGGGCGTCAGGCTGAGCTGGAGAAGAAAAAAAAGATAGTAAGGCCAGCCCTAATTTGAAGCTCTCTTGCTTGGCAGATCTGGGACCAGGAATACCAATGGGGCCCACAGACAAAGCTTAATACAAAGTCCCTGTGTTTGGTGTTGGAACATGTGATGAAATACATGAGCCACTACAGTAAGTCTATGAATTTCTGAGGCTAGAACTATTTCCCAAGCTCTGTCCAAGGGAACCTGCAGCCCTGCCCTCCCCTTCTCCCTAGAACATGTCATCCTCAGGACCTCATATACAAAGGGACAGCAGATAGACCACATATAAAAATAGCTCTCTGGCCAGGTGCGGTGCCTCACGCCTGTAATCCCAACACTTTGGGAGGCTGAGGCAGGTGGATCACGAGGTCGGGAGATGGAGACCATCCTGGCCAACATGGTGAAACCCCGTCTCTACTAAAATACAAATAATTAGCTGGGCGTGGTGGCATGCGCCTGTAGTCCCAGCTACTCGGGAGGCTGAGGCAGGAGAATCGCTTGAACCTGGGAGGCGGAGGTTGCAGTGAGCCAAGATTGTACCACTGTATTCCAGCCTGACAACAGAGCAAGACTCCATCTCAAAAAAAAAAAAAAAAAAAAAAAACAAACCACACATAGCACTCTGATCCACACCCTGCAGCAACCAGCTCTGGAAACCAAACCATAGCCTCTGAGGCACGGGCCCCACATCAGGACTTGATCAATAACAGCTTTATCCAAAATTTTGCTCCCCACTCCCTGTAATTTAGGACCAACAGGAGAAAAGCCAAATGCTCCCCTCCCCTATCACACAGGATGTTTGAGTCTAGTTATCCTAGGGATTCCAGTTAACCAGCTTTTCTTTCTCTAAATCTACTTATGTATTTCTAACCCTGCTCCTACGGCCAGCTCTACCTGCTAACAAGCCCCCTCTGAAAGTGTTCTGGGGGGGTCCCTCAACCGCCACCTCTAGCCTGGTGATTTGCTAGCAGGATTCAGCAACAGTAACAATTACAGACTTGCTATCTTTTTTTTTTTTTAGACAGAGTTTCATTCCTGTCATGCAGGCTGGAGTGCAATGGCACAATCTCTGCTCACAGCAACCTCCGCCTCCCGAGTTCAAGCCATTCTCCTGCCTCAGCCTCCAGAAGTAGCTGGGATTACAGGTGCCCACCACCATGCCCAGCTAATTTTTTTGTATTTTTAGTTGAGATGGGG